CATCTAATCATAGACTATTTAAGTTGCGACCGTGCATTCTACTGTTGTTCTGGAGCATTTCATTACTTGTATAACGATGATAAACATGGAAAAAATACTGTTTTTGTCATTATAAAGCTTGGGCCCTGAAGAGCTTGTGCCAAACATGATTGATAAAGCGTCCTAAATATAACAGAGGTCTACTGCAGACTGACACACAAACTCTGTGCACGCTCACAGACATGTACGGCGACTTTTACACACACATGCAACACAAAGACCTCTTTCTGGTGAATGGTGTTATTCTGGTTCAGGACTCCATGCAGGTACATTGAGTCCACTTTTCAGAACAGCGGGGTCGCTTTCAACAGCAAGTATTCACACTTTCTGTGGATTGCGTTGCCGTGGTAACTAAGAAAGGCAGAGATTCTGACTCATTTTTTCGTACATCATTTTCTAAAAACATTCAAAATGGGCAGAAATGTTTGGATCATTTGACTCCTTCCATCAGTGATTGTCCTCAAGTATCTGCGCTGAAGTTTTGCTCCTCTGACTTTGCTGGAACCAGATGTTTTGGTGATGCTAAAACCCATCTGTCTTCACTGCACAGCCAACATGTTGGACACGATGCTGCTGAAGAACGGATGGAAGGGCGGGTCGGAGCGACGGGCGGAGGAGAGCAGCAGCACAGCCACCGTCTCGCTCCAGAACATGCTTTGGTGCCACTGCTACCCGCACTGCCCCGAAGACTCCGTCAACAACACCTGCATGTACGGCCAAGTACACACACTGACACGCTTTCTATTGAGGCCATTTAAAGACAACACCAATAATTATTCACAGTAATTAGCCAAGAGACCTCTAATTACCTGATCAGAAGCGCACAAATGTTTACTTGAGCTACATTCTTTGTGAAACCACTCGAGCCTCTCGAGGCTTATTAACACTTGCACTCGCCAATCCACTTCTTGTAGAGAAATTAAGACTTAGAGTATACATTCTGTGTGTTAGAGATGTTTTTCCATATGATCTGTGTAGATATAAATAAAAATGTACAAATACAATTTATAGACATTTTCGTCTACTCCACTTTCACTACCTGTTCTCATTATCACATAATCTCTTTTATTTATCTGTCTACTCACTGTTTAGTCCATAAAATATCAGCAAATTATTGAATCCTCATAATAATTCAATTCAATTCAATTCAAATAACTTTATTTATCCCCTAGGGGCAATTCAAAAGCTAAAGATACAAGACCTCCAGAGTCCAAGATGATTCCTACTTTTGTTCAACCAATAGTCCAAAATCAAAAAATATTCCCCTTTCATTGACTGTAAACACAGAAAAGCAGAAAAAAAATCACATTTGTGGCCCTGAACTAAGTGAATGTTTTGCTTTATGAAAGACTACATAAATTCATCTGTTTAAAAATGGTTGCACATAGATCCATCCTCACTAGGGTCATGGGGGGCTGGAGTCTATCCCAGCTGACTTAGAGTGAAGGCAGGGGACACCCTGGACAGGTCACCAGTCTGTCACAGGGCTACACTTAGAGACAGACAACCAAGCACACTCACATTCACATGTTGTTGTTAAGCAGAGCAATAATTCAGTAGCATTTTGTAGCGCGTTCAGTAGAATACCTCTAAATTCTGAGGTATTATAGAAGTTTTGTTGCTTATAACACCTAATAGCTAAAATCTAAACACCTACTGTAATAACAACGATGACTTACAGTATGTGATGGCTTGTGGTCTTTCTGTAGGACTGACGGTTACTGCTTCACTATGGTGGAGGAGGAGGAGGGGGGTCTTGCTGTTCTCACCGCAGGTTGTTTGCGACTGGCCGGATCAGAGTTCCAGTGCAGAGTAAGTTTGTTGTTTGTGATCCGCTTAACAATTTATTACAATTTGAAACAATGCCAAATTGCGAAAGGCTGCAGTTTAAGATGCATGTTATTCAATGCATCGTCCTCCTTATGTCAGTGACAGTCTTGTTATTGATGCTATCTCATGAGGCAACATGCTTCAAATGTTTTAAATCTGTACCGATCAGGCACAACATTAAAACCACTGGCAGGTGAACTGTTTATCACTGATCAACTGTTCTCCTGGAAAACCTTGGGTCCTGCATTCCTGTGGATGCTACTTTGACACCCTCTCCATGGCAAAAAATGGTAGCAGCCTCCCCTAGCAAGACAACACACCCTGCTACACTTTAAAAACTGCTCAGGAAGAGCTCGAGGAACACAACCAAGAGCTCAAAGTGTTAACCCAACCTCCAAACTCCACTTGAATCAAGGATTGGCTGGATGCACCAGAATAAGCCTGATCTGCTGAGGTTCTAATCCCACAACTCCAAAGGATCCGCTACCACTATACCTTGTCAGATGCCACAGGAAGGGTCAGAGCTATTTTTGGCGACACATAGAGGACCTACACAGTATTTGACAGGTGGTTTTAATGTTGGGCCTGATCTGTGTATTACAAAATGTCAGAAAAATTGCAATTAGATAATTCCCCCAACATGTCCATCCATAATGTGTGTACCTCTGTTTGAATGTATGTGTGTCCTCCTTCACGAGACGTTGTTAAGTCCTTATGAGCTTTCCTTGACTCCCTTCAGCTCTTTATGAGACCTATTTAAATCTCCAGCCCACTATCTTTATATGCAGAGGAGGAACCTTTAGCAAAGTGTGAAATGCTGTTAGGAATAAGTGCGGCTGTAAATCTTCATTGCTCCTCTGTCTTTATGAGTGTTGCATACATGTGCACGGCTTTTACACTCGTGTGTGCGCGACAGGACACGTGGAACGCGCGTTCGAGGAGATCTCTGGAGTGCTGCACGGATCAGGACTACTGCAACAGAGACTTGCATCCGACTCTCCCTCCGCTCGTGACGTCAGGTAGGACACAACGGGTTTTCACACCATGAAATCCTGCCCCACTTTTAAGCGCGAGTGCCTTTTAGGACGGGCTCGTTCAGGCCTCGCCGGCTGGTGATGAGTAGTGACAGTTTAAACTGTTACAAACCACAGTGTGGTGCTGGAGTGAAGTGGCACATGCTGCTCCGGGAGGCAGAGAGAGAGAGAGGGAGGCAGGTGAAACAGAGCCTGCAGACTTGGCTTGTTCTCTCACCCTCTAATGAAAAGGACAGCCTCTCCCCGGGGCCTGCTTGAGTTTCTTGCCTCAGGACGGATGTGAGATATCTGTCCATCTGTCACGCCGCAACACACCAACACACACACACACATTCTTCCTGCCTCTCCCTCGATCACAGTTTCTGTCACGTACAGTCACTGTTACGCTTTTACGGCGCCTCACAAACTTCATTCTGACCTTCATGCAAACAGCGACAACTGAATTCGTCCAATCTGTTAAGAATTATTCCGTTGCTGTAGAGCTAATGCTGTTCTCATGAAAATGCTCGCTGTGACCTGGGGACATATCAACATTGTTACAACAAAAAGGGCAAGAATCAACCGGTCAAATGATCAGACAAGCCCAAACCAGCTTTATTTAGGGGGTAAAAATGAAAGTGCATTCAAATGAAATGATTGCAACGTCCCTTCACGTTGCACAGGAAAACTGCACAACTACTGTAGCTGCTCTTGTCAAACATAAACCACTAACTGTGACTACCTCTACTTTCTCATCCAAATCCAAAAAAAGCTAGAAAGGCAGCAATCTTTCAAAGCCTTTCCTGTCTATGCAGTCTCTATGAATCCACTCGTCCCTCTGACCGGGTGTGTGTGTGTTATCCTCCACCGCAGCATGAAGTATCTCCAGTGTTCAGGCGTCTGTGTGTTTGTGTGTGTGTGATTGACAGGACCGTGGCAGAAAGGCTAGAGCCCCAGAGCTGCTCCAGGCCTCTGGGGTTTCTGTAGTGATGTCAGCGTGACACCCGATACGTGGGATTCAGGAACGGGATGCGATCGATAACGCGCTGCGAAAAGGGGTGCAGGGCAGAATTAGAGAGAAGGCGAGAGGGGGGGGGAAGCTGCCAATGAAAATTAAACAGATGCTGGAGTTGATAACAGAGAACAAATGACTGTCACCACCTATTCATCAGCTCTGGTTTAACTGACTCACTTAGACCAGCGTTCTTGTTTGTGCATGTTTAAGGATGGTAGACTAATAATATATATATTTGCATGTCTCTCTAGACTATGTGGACCGCAGCATCCAGTACATGGCTCTCTTCATTTCAGTCACAGTTTGCAGCATCATCCTTGGTGTCATCCTTGTTTTCTGCTACTTTCGGTAAGAAAAACTGTCCTGTGAGCGTATCAGCACATTCTCACTTGCTGATGTTCACTTAACAAACATTGCGTCGCCTTTCTGCGGCAGATATAAACGTCAGGAGTCGCGGCCGCGCTACAGCATCGATCTGGAGCAGGATGAGACCTACATTCCCCCGGGGGAGTCTCTGAAGGACCTGATCGAGCATTCCCGCAGCATCGGCTCTGGTTCTGGGTCAGGACTCCCTCTACTGGTAGGAGAAACACATCTGCAGTCCACATGGCAATAATAAAATACTGCTTTGTGCTGCTCGTGTGTAAATATATGCAAAATTACTATGAAGAAAATCACATTGATTTTGAGTCCAATGAACTCTCTGCATTATGTTAACAACTACCCTGAGGTACCCAACCAAAGGGATCAATAAAGTTCTATTTAATCTAATGTTAAATCTACCCAGACATCTCAAATTCAATCAGTTTATTTTTGTTTTTAGTCACAATTTGCCCCAAATATTGTTTTACTTATAAAATATGACCACATCATCAGGATATTATTCTCCTGAATGTACATAAGCAACATTATTAAACCGTTTCTTTACTGTATTTGCACATATTAGACACAGAATACCCATATGACATGAAATGTTCTTTTTAAAATTTAACAGGAAGAAAAAAATTACCACAAATACATTTTATTAAAGATCCCCTCCAGTGAAAATCTATTTCTTTTAAAATCTTTATATATGGTGTTTTTATATATATATATATATATATATGCTTGAAGGCATATCATCAGTTACATAACCAGTCAGCGGCATGGCTGAGCATTTTCACCTTGGAACTGCAAGTGAAATTTCCAAGGTTTCATGTGTAGTAAACCTAAGGACCTGCCAACACCTGGGGGGAAGCTTTCCAGGTGGGAGAAAGAGACGTGGACTGGATAAATCGGCATGTTCTAGAAGTTGCTGGCATGTAGACTTACATTAGAGGCATGTTAAGGTGTGAAGGGGATTATTTTCATGATTTTTTGTAGACAAAAAGGTTTTTTAGGGGTTTTAATAAATGACCAAAGAGGATCTTTAAATTCTTAGAAATGTAAAGAGAAAAAATTTGCATTGTAAAACTATGTATGTATATTTTTACAATTATTCGTTTCCAGGTGCAGCGTACCATCGCCAAGCAAATTCAGATGGTCAAGCAGATTGGAAAAGGGCGATACGGAGAAGTGTGGATGGGCAAATGGAGAGGAGAGAGAGTGGCCGTCAAAGTGTTCTTCACCACTGAGGAAGAGAGCTGGTTCAGAGAGACTGAAATCTATCAGACCTTCCTGATGAGACATGACAATATACTGGGTAAGGTCACATGAGTGGAGTGTGAAACAGAACTGAAATAGTGAGTAAAGGCTTGTGTATGTGTCTGTGTCTGTTGGGAACAAATGTAATGCGAAAACAATTAGCCGCCAACAGTGGCTGCATTCAGCACAAAGGTTTTCTCTCGGGGTTATTTTAGGGAAGGAAAGAAACAAAAATGCGTTTGGAGGTTGTTGAACGGCCACGAGGGAAGGCAGAGTGAAAAGCCAGCCATTACAGACTAGACAGATATTGTTTAAAAATAGAGATACAGGCACATTTTCTGACAATCTCTTCAGGGGGACGTTGGTAGTTTTGTATCGCGCTGTGCACATAAAAAGTGCCACAACAGTTGCTGAGTAACAAATGGAAAAGAGAGGGAGCTAGAAAGAAAAGTACAATGTCTGGCTCCTCTCTCACCTCAACAGGCCAAATGCTGGCATGAAGCGATTGTGAATGTTGGGTTTGCCAGTTTTGGAAAGTTGCAGCTAAATCTCCAGGGACTTAGCAGAAGCCAGCGAAATGTCCTCAAAAGTGACTAAACTTTGACTGTGTGTTGTTTTCTATGCACATTTCCCAATCCTGTCATCCCTGCCGTCTAATCCCCAGGATTCATAGCAGCTGACATCAAAGGAACCGGCTCGTGGACTCAGCTCTACCTAATTACGGACTACCACGAGAACGGATCTCTGTACGACTACCTCAAGTCCAACACCTTAGACGTCAAGGCTCTGCTGAAGCTGGCTTATTCCTCCATATCGGGCCTCTGCCACCTGCACACCGCCATCTACGGCACGCAGGGCAAGCCAGCCATCGCACACAGAGACCTGAAGAGTAAAAACATCCTGGTAAAGAAGAACGGATCCTGCTGTATTGCAGATCTGGGCCTGGCTGTCAAGTTTAACAGGTACAGCAGACAGTCTCATTTGAATACAGTTTAGGACAGGGGTG